ATGCGAGCCTTACCGCTGCTACGTTTCTTTTTTCTTCCAGCAAATCGAGGTTAAACCTTAGCATATTGTCATTATGCTCACGGTTCCATGCCAAGCTTCGAACAGTCGGAACTAAGTGCTCGACTGGTATAACTGCCTCAATTCCATACGCCATGGTGAATGGGCTTTCTCCGGTCGGTCGTCTAGGGGTCGTTCTGTAGGCCCATAAGACGTTCGGCAGTTCATCTAACCACCTTCCTTTCCTTTCCTCTAGTTTCTTCTTGATACAAGTAAAGATTGTTCTGTTTGTAATTTTCGCTTGTCCATTGGCCTGTGGGTGACTTACTGCTACCAGCTTTTGATTAATTCCATACTCCTCCAACAGCTCTCTTACTTGCTTACTGTCAAGGTTGGTACCATTATCCATGACGATTGACCTCGGAACACCAAATCGGCAAATAATATTACTCCAAATGAATTGTCTCACAAGAGTTTGAGTAACGCTCGGATATGGCTCTGCTTCCACCCACTTAGCTGTGATACCCCTCGGATCCGAGACACGGGTTGATCAGGCCCAGGCCCAAACCCGAGGGAATATCAAACAATTAATATTTTATAATGAACACGGAATACAAAATAAATTAAGAAATGAAATTAAAGCTGGAAGGAACTAAAAATAGAATCCGCAAAATATTATAATTATTAAAATCCATCAAACCCAAACTCCAAAACTCCATCAGTTTACAACTTGGGAATCCATCTCTAGTGGACCCCTATTAAACATCCAAACGGAAGATAGAACAACTGTAATAAACGTCCAGAAATAAAACTATAGAGAGAGCCCTACATCGTCGGAAGAGTGAATAGAGACCTCTGCTCAGCACGAACACGTCTAAGCCTGGAACTGTCGTGTACCTGAAAAATAGAAGTGGGTCAGGCCCACGCGCAAGTTCTATACTACTACAATCCAAACAGAGGCCCGATACGCATGTACATCCTAAACAATTCAACAATAGCTAATAGTCCATAAATATATATATAGTCACACTAAAGGACTCTCACTGGACTACAGGCCGGTCTCAACCTGAATAGAGGTAACATGCTAAAATGCACACGAAGTGGGCATATGTACCTATACCTAAACAGGGTACACCTCCAACCATTATAGCCAGCTACACATCCCGATGCATATACGCTCCCTAGCCATCGGTCCTGAGGCTCAAGCTCATATCGAGGCACCATAACAGTACATATATAAAATCCATCCAAAATCCCTGGTATTGCCGCTCAACAAGTAATTGCCATGACAATACAAATCCACGGGACTTAACTTTTAGTTAATCCCATCCTTATTCCAAGTAGGTAGGTAATGGTATTGTTTTTAAAACCAAACCCATCCTTAGTATGCCACCGTCCCATACCAGTGCCTACTTTCCAATCCTCCAGTAGTCAATAATACCAATAAATCAAGTATATATCAACTAAATTCCAACATCCAACATTCAATGTTAGCAGTGATAAAAAAAGCATTGATAAACAGGGTCACAACAACAACATATACATGCCCAATTTAAGTTGTTCCCTTTAGTCTGATATAAAGACAGAATTAATTAAAACTTCCATTTAACACCTTACAAATGACATACAGATATGTAGGGTATGTATCACAAAATCCTAACCTCCACAGTTGATACTAACTGTGATAATGTAAGCATCAAAACAATATTCACAGTATGTATGTAGACATGCTCAAATTATAGTGTTTCACAAAACCGATCTAGTGTTAAACTCAAATCCTCCTAGTATTTAAGTTCCAACAGTTGCTATTACAGAAGTTAAGATAGCTATCATCTAGACCCATCCTTCCAATAATTTATACTAGCAGTGGTAAGGAAAAACGTGAACCACAGAACCACAATGTATCCACAAACATGCTTAGTCTAGGTTGAACAAGCATACAACACTACTGTAACTACCAGTTTCATAGCAAAACAGATATCATTTTAGTTTGGTTTAATCTTCATTAATCCTGGAATCATTTAAGAGTGCAAAGAGTATGAAGCCTAAGGGAAAGAGTAAGGATAGAATCTTGCCTCAGAAACTTTTGTTCAAAGTTTCAACGTCGTCTTCTTAAAAAATCCCGGCGAGTTCCAAAACCCGGTTACTGTTCACGGGTACGAAACACTATTCCCGAACTCAAAATCTGATCTCCACCGTTCAGATTGTGCGACACTAAGTCATGAACCTATCCTCCAAATTTCAGCTCGATCGAACCATGGACGAAGTAGGATCGGATGTTTGATGAAATCTGGGCAGAATGGAAAAAAAACCTGTGCGAAAATCCCGACGAGTTCCAAAACCCGGTTACTGTTCACGGGTACGAAACACTATTGCCAAACTCAAAATCTAATCTCCACCGTTCAGATTGTGCGACACTGAGTCATTAACCTATCCTCCAAATTTCAGCTCGATCGGACCACGGACGAAGCGGGATCGGATGTTTGATGAAATCTGGGCAGAATGGAAAAAAAAACCTGTGCGACCCAGTTACTGTTCACGAGTACGAATCACTGTTCCCAAGGTTAAACTCTGATCTTTACCGTTCAGATTGTGCGTTACTGAGTCGTGAACCTCTCCTCCAAAATTCAGCTCGATCGGACCACGGACGAAGCGGGATCGGAGCTTTGATCAAACCTTGGCAGAATGTGAAAAACTGCGTTTTTCCTTCTCCACTTCCACAAAACGTGTGCTTTGTTTAAAAAAACCCTACACAGACGTCTACCTTATACTTATAGAGTTTTCCTAAACCCTAGGTTCATTTAAGTCCAACTCATAATCCTAACCGGCCCATCCAATTAACGTAGAAACCTACGAAGGCTATAATATAAAACCCTAATTTATACTGTAATTAAAACCCTAGTTAGATGTATTTACCTAATTACCCTATTCACCATTAAATACTTAACAAATAATCTAATTGAACAAAATAATAATTAGTAAACCCAATTAAACCAAATAAGACACACATAAAATAAGACACACATAGAATAATTAAACCAATTACACTTAAACCATTAATGCCAATTAAATAATTAAAACACTAACAAGTAATTCCAATCAAATAACTAAAAATAAATATCATTTAAATAAATTAAATCACCACAAAAGAAAACAATTAAGCACCTAATAAAAAAAATAATTACACATAATCAAATAAAATGCACTTAAATAATAAATTAAATACCATTAAATACCAGGAATATCCTTTTTAAAATTAGGGGTATTACAGTAGCCAGTAACACATACTTGTTCTGAGCTCTGGCAGTTGGTAGAGGACCAACTACATCCATCCCCCATTGTGCGAAAGGCCATGGTGTAGCCATTACATTCAAGTCTTCAGGCGGTTGGTGAATCAGTGGTTCGAACCTTTGGCACTTATTGCATCTTCTGGACAACTCTTCCGAATCTTGCGACATGTTTGGCCAGAAGTACCCTTGAGCCATTGCCTTGTGTGCTAATGATCTCCCCCCTGAGTGGTTTCCACATACGCCTTCATGAATAGCTCGTAATATTTGCCGAGCCTTTGTGGGGGTAACACACTTTAAGTTCGGTCCGGAAAAAGATCTTCTGTATAACTGGTTATGCATTATGGCGTACTTTGCAACATTCGTTTTGATTTTTCTAGCCTCATTTCTTTGTTCAGGCAGAGTACCATCTCGGATGTAAGTTATGATCGGATCAATCCAACTTGGCTCATATGGAATAACATTCACTTGCCAAGGATCCGAGCCTGAAGGTTCTTCGAAAATGGATGGCTGATTTAATATTCCCACCAAAACCACCCTTGCCAATGTTTCTCCAGAACCCGAGGCGCTACATGCTAGTCTGTCGGCATCTTCGTTATACTCCCTTGGAATTTGAATGAATTCAATTTTTTCAAAGTTCTTCGCCTCCCGCATAACAGCAGAACGATATGCTTTCATCGTTTCATCCTTGGTTTCATACTCACCTCTCACCTGCCGAACGACTAATTGCGAGTCACTAAAAACATTCAAATTCCTAACCTTAAGTTCTTTGGCAAGCTTTATTCCTGCCAGCAACGCTTCATACTCTGCCTCATTGTTCGTGGCTGCGAATTCAAGCCGAAGCGCTTGGTTTAAGGCTGTACCTTCTGGAGTCTGCAGTTTGATCCCAATGCCTGCACCCATCTGATTTGAGGATCCATCAATGAATAGTTTCCATAAGCACTTACAAAGATCCTCCTCCACGTCCTCTGAATCACACTCTAGTAAAAAATCTGCCACCGTCTGCCCTTTGACTGCTGTTCTAGGTTCGTATGTGATATCAAATGAGCTTAACTCTATAGCCCACTTCGTCATTCTTCCGGAGAGATCCAGTTTGTGCAGGATTATTCTAATAGGGAAAGTGGTTAGAACGATAATAGGATGGGATTCAAAATAATGCCTGAGCTTTCTTTTCGTATGCACTAGCGAGAGTATCACCCGCTCTACCTTTGAATAACGTCTTTAGGCCTCAATCATTGTCTTGCTAACATAGAACACTGGATATTGCTTCCCTTTTGCGTAGTGGACCAGAACGCCACTTGTCGCGATGTTGGACACTCCGAGATACAAAAACAGTTTTTCGCCTAATTCTGGAGCTGACAGTACCGGAAGGTTCTGCATATATTTTTTCAGAGCAGTTAACGCTAGGAGTTGTTCATCTCCCCAAACCTGCCTGCCGTGGCCCCGAATTGTGTCAAAAAATGGTTTGCATCGATCTGACAATTTGGAAATGAAACGGCTCAGTGCAGCAATCCGTCCTGTAAGTGTTTGCACTTCTTTGATTGTCGTCGGCTCGGCATTCTTAGTCAGAGCATCTGCTTGGGCAGGGCTTGCCTCGATGCCTCTGAGATTAACCATGTGCCCTAGGAATTGGCCTGAACTTACACCGAACGAGCACTTGGTCGGATTGAGCTTCATTCCATATCACCGCAAAACATCAAACACGCCTCGAAGATGCTACACATGATCAGCTTTCTTCTTACTTTTGACCACCATATCATCAATGTAAGCCTCCACTGTCTTCCCTATTTGTTCCGTAAAAATCTTGCTAATAAGTCTTTGGTAAGTTGCCCCGGCGTTCTTTAGTCCGAACGGCATAACTTTGTAGCAATACGTCCCGCGTTCAGTAACGAAAGAAGTTTTTTCTTCATCAACGGGGTCTATGGGGATCTGATTATAACCCGAATAAGCATCTAAAAAGGTCAAGCGTTCATATCCAGTAGTTGCATCCACCATCTGATCAATCTTTGGCAGCGGGAAGCTATCCTTCGGACAAGCTTTGTTTAAATTGGTAAAATCAATGCATACGCGCCATTTCCCATTTTTCTTTTGCACAACGACCACATTCGATAGCCAGTCGGGGTAGTACACTTCTCCTACGAACCCCGCATCAAGCAGCTTATCAACTTCCTCGACAATAATTCGGTTGCGCTCGGGGGCAAACCGTCGCTGCTTCTGCTTTATAGGTTTTGCATTGGGGTTAACGTTCAAGGAATGACAAGATACCGGAGGATCGATCCAGGGCATATCTAGGTGACTCCATGCGAACACATCTGCATTTTGAGACAAAAAAATCAACTAATTCCTGCTTTTCCTCCTCAACGAGTCGTTCCCCTACTCTGGTTGTTCGTTCTGGTCGAAACTGATCGATCTGCACATCAAGCAGGGGTTCTTCAGTCAAGCCTACTGGTTCCTCCTCTCCATTCTGCTTGGATGGAGGCTCTTGTAATTGTTATCTCGGACTTACTGAACGAATGAGAGCTTTCCCTTTTCCGGCATGTTTCATCGTTACAGAGTAACATTCTTTTGCTGCAACTTGGTCTCCATGAATGTCAATCACTTTGGTTCCGTCCGGTGCCAGGCATCTCATTACCTGATGCAGAGTGGAAGGAACACCTCGAACTCTATGGATCCACCCTCTGCCCATCAGAAGATTGTAAGAGGGATGAATTTCAACAACTACAAAGGTTTCCATCAAAACCCTCTCGGCAGCATGTACCGCTACCTCCACCGTGCCGACAGGCTCCACTCGCTTTCCATCAAACCCTAATAGTGGATTCCCGGTGGATTTCAGCTGATCCTGTTTGATCTCGAGCCGATCGAATGTATCTCTTGGCATGATGTTCGCACTACTTCCAGGGTCAATTAGAACTCTGCGCACCAAGCATTTGGCCACTGTCAAACTTACGACCAGTGGGTCCTCATGAGGGATCTGAATACGCAACAAGTCTGTTGCGTCAAACTTTATCTGCGTTGATGCGCTCTACTGGTGCAGAGTGTTTACACTACCTATCATTCTCTTCATCCGTGCCTGACGAAGGCGTGTTCGAAGCAGTTAATCTGATTCCTCAGCAGGTTCTGGCCGACCGTGAATTGCATTAATTACTCGAACTGGTTGCGTGTTGTGAGAATTCGACTTCTGATTCTTCTTCACATGCTCCATTGGCTGGTTCTGCTCCACCGCTGGTCCTTGAATATAACTAAGGAGATTGAGATGGAGGAGTGAAATCAGGGCCTCGCCGGGAAGAAGGCCAGCACCGGTTCTAATATTCACTTCTCGGGGGTAGTTTCTAATTTCTACATCGTCAGGAAGGTGAAGTTTCATGCGAAGAACGTCTAGATCTACTGTCATGGTGAGAATGAATGAGGATTACGGGGAGGAGAAAGAAGTCTTCCAAAACAAAAATGCAAATGAAACTAACCTTATAGAGTGAAAATGGCAGAGAGTATTGCAAAGCCACTGGAAGGAAGATCTTTCGCAAGAGATTGCCGGAGAGGATTCAAACAGCAAAAGGTGAGATGGAGACGGTAAAGAGGATCGATGGAGAATCAATGGAGCTTATAAAGACGAGATGAGCCCAAGAGCCGAGGAGTCAGGAAAGCGATGGGTTGTCTTTTTGAATCTCGAAGCGCCGACCCCTAGATCTAACCGTCCATTCTTCCACACGATCTCTTCGAGCCGTCAGGTCATCGTTAGCAACCTCTAATAATTACCCCCTAATCAATAAGGGGTAATTATGGGGGCAGTTGAGGATGCGGCAAGTGGCATGGGTCGGATATGGTTCGCAGGAACAAGATCGGGTCGAATGATTGAAGTAGGATCCATGCCAAAGCACCCTGGAATGGGCCGAACCTAGGAGGTCCATCGAGGAAGGTCAAACCCATTGCAAGACCCAGCCCAGAAGGAAGAGAGCTTTCGAATATAGGCCCAATGTAATTGGTTAACTGCAATAAAGGTCATGGCCTATAAATAGACCATGACGGGTGGAAAGTGAGGGCAGAACGCTAGAGAGAGAGAAAGAGAGAAGAAACGAAATCTTGTATCTTCAGGAGCATATTTGGTTTTAGAGTTTTGTGATTTTCATCTCAATGAGGTAGGGATGTGTTGAATATGTAAGGTTACGTCTTCTTTGCATTTTGTGAGTTAGTTTGAAGTTATACATGCATGTGTGTGTGTGTTTAAAATTGCATATATTGATTAATAATGCTCTTCTATGATGATTAATATCATAGTTAGTAATTGCGTGTCTATTATGATTTTTAGAATCTATTTTGTAATATTTGTTGATGATAAGATGTTTATTTGATTTCGTGAGGTTGTATGAGTTATGGACGCTTTAATTTACAAATATTACATTGTGACACCCCAAATTTTTATTTCTGCCTCAAATCATAATTAAGCCTGGATTTTATATTAGGAGACTTTGTTTATATTATTGGGAGGTGTTATATTTCATTTTTTGGAGGTGGGTTATACTTGGAATTAGATATAAATTTTGAGAGTTTATTTGGAGACATGCATGATTTTCTTTAGTTAGTGATGGGCATTTGGAGATTAAGTAAAAGTTTATTAAGTGGAGATACATGTGGCAATCTTATAGGAAAACTTAAAACGATGTGTCCTTACAATCAGCCCACATAAAGACGCGTTAGTAATCCATGGCTTTTACAATTCAAGCGTGTCCCACACTTGGGGGGATGAAACAGAAAACTAAGGTGTAGTAGGAAAGGGAAAAATGAAGAGAGGATTAGAGAGAAGAAGGAGCAGAACCGAAAGAATAAGTAGAGGGAGGTTCGGTCATGGAAGAAAATAAAGGGAAGAAAGGATTAAGGAAGTGCTAGCCAGATTTCCACCAGCCTTTCACCATCACCTTATGCGTGTTCATTTCCATTATCATCTCACCTTTTCTAGCATGATTGAGGTAGGGTTTACTGTAACATTTGTTTATTTGGTAATTTTGGTTCCCTATTTTACATTTTGTAGCCATGAAAGTGTTCCTTGTGTTACAATTTCATGTGTTTTGCAGAACCCTTGTGATTACTACTTGATTCTTGCCATTATTGTTAAAATCCTTGTGCCTCATCTATTTGAATGTTGTTGTTTTATCCTTATGTGTAATTGAGCTGCATATAACTCCTATACTTGAAAAACATGTTCTTCGTGGCGATGTCCTATGCTGGAATTTCCTTAGAAACTTTTGTTACAGTTTATTCCTACTGGGACCTTGTGTCTCACCCCACCATATTGCAGGTTCCATTGATTATTTGAAGAGCAATTGGAGTTGCAGATTTGCTTGTTAGAGACTAGCATGATATTGTATAGCAAGTGTTTGATATAATGCCTGTGCTTTTATTTTTGAGGAAATTGATGTAAGATGAGAATTTTATTTAATATTGTTGAAAATTGTATCATTGTGGACATTTTATGGACTGTTCTTTAGGATTCTTATGAGTTGTAGCTTGAAGTAGGTGTTTGGGGATAAACAAGGATTTTGTATTTTTGTGGAAATTCAATAATTTCTCCAAGGAGTTGTATTAATCCAAATGCTATGAAACTTTTATTACAGGTTTTTCTACATGTCTAGGAGCTCTCAAATTAATTTCGTAATTTTTATACCAGCATATATTTTTATAAAAATCTGACAGTGCAGGCTGTCCATATTTAAATCGCAGCTGGAAAACCGATTTTAAATGAATTATTTGACCAACTTCTTGACACCGGATCTTTATCAAAATTTCCAATTTTATACTTTCCTAAGTCTAATTTCTAAAAACTAATTTATTGGAATTTTCTTAGCTCTGGATATTTTTTTCAAATGAACGAAGTTTACCGAAAACTTTATTTTAAGCTCATTCTTTGACTGCCATTTTCCTTTCAAAAACTGATTTTATTGGCAAAGCTAGCTTAAGTTGCTGGGAATTGCAGTTTCACATTACCCTTTGAGTCTAGTTTTTAAATCATTTTCGTTTACTCCATTTTGATTTAAAATGAAATTTCTATGAATATTTAATTAGTTGCAGCGCATATTTTGTTTTGAGGTTGTTTGTGATGTGTTTAAGTTGATAATTATCGGAGTAGCGCAGCAGGATTTTGTTTGTGGTTATTTGGGTTGAAGTAGGACCAAGAAGGGTCTGATTTTATTTGGATGGTTTTTCGAAACTTGTTTTGTCATAACCCCTATTTTTTGGTTGTTACATACATGGTATATAGTTATGTGGATCGCATGTGAGTTGATTTCGGAAATATAACAATGTGGTTATTAAAGTTATTTTGGAATTGATATTTCGATTATAAATGATGACTAAGATGCTTAGTTGATTTTGTGCATGACCATGGTCGGTATACTTGTGATAGTGGATTTGTGAGACTTTGTGGAAAGCATGATGTTTATTAATACTTTGGAAGCATGATATTTGGTTGCGTAGTATGCATGTTTTTGATATATTTGCTCATTAGGATATTAGAGCTTGTTATGGTCATATCATGCCTTATTTGTTATCATTGCATTTTTTAGCATGCCATTAGACTTTAGGACATGTTCCGTGTAGAAAGCATGAGTTTATATGCGCTTGTAAATTGCAATTTGGTTATATATGGTATGTGATACCTTATGGATTTGGTTGACTATTTTTGGGATATTCTTGGAACCAATGTTCGTTAACTTTGAGAATGTGAGAGTTTGGCTCTCACGGGTGAGCTCAGGCTCCCCATTTGTAAAGTGGCCGCTAGGATAGTTCCCAGCGGGTTAGTAGCCCGACAACAGTTATTTTTTTGGGTGGGTACCACGGTTCGAGTCCGTTAATAACCAAACTTTTTTTGTGCACGTAGTACGTTTGATCGTGTTTGTGTGAGTCCAAGTCATCCCTATTATGTGATTTCGGATCCTATTTTGAGTTGACAATCCATGTGTAGTTGCAACTTGTTTACTTTTATATTTCATTTGCTAGGTTTTGATTAGTAGAAATGGAATGGATCTTGCATACATTTATTGAGGGTTTTATTGTGTCTATTTCATGCCTATTCGCTAATGATAGATTAGGATGACGCCTTTAGGATTTTCCCATAAATTAGACGCTATGGAGCTTGTCCCTTGCATTGTTGACACGGACTTTACTTGTGAAGCCAAGGAAATGTAGCACGTGTATGTACCTAGTATTGACCTACTGAGCCTTGTAGCTCACCCCTTCGTTGATTCCCCTTTCAGGTTGAGGCTTAGCTTTAGAGGACGATGCTTCTCTCTTCACTTGTTTTTGGATATTATATCGAAGTATATGTATCTTTGTCTTCATTTCATATTGTGGCAATCTTGGTTTTGTAATCGGATTCATATGTGTAATTGTCTCTATTTCATAGGATATCTTTTCCGGATCTTGTATTTGAGGTGAGGAGCATATTTGAGATGTTGGTACACATTTTAAATGCACACCCAATGTATGTTTCACACTCTCTTTGGTTCACAAAAGTCCTTGCCTTGTGTAGGCATCTTAGTTGGACATTTTTTTATTCATGTTTGAGCATTGGGCATGCTTAGGAGTAGTTTGGTTAAGGTTTGTTGCATTAGAGTTCATTCACAGTTGCCATTTTTCGAGTTCCCAAGTGGGGAGCCAACTCCTTTCTTAAGGGAGTCGACTCCCGGTGTCTTTCTTTGCATTTACTGTGGCACAGTAGCAAAAATCCATATTTTTTTAGAAAGGAGCCATCTCCTTTCAAATGGAGCCGACTCCCTCAACCCAAGGAGCCAACTCCTTTCAAAAGAAGCTTGCTTCCTTTCTACTGCTTGGTAGTTTCGAACTGTTGATTTCAAATGACCATAACTTACTCATTTTAAATCGAAATTAGGTCATTCTTGAGCCTAAATTGAAGAATTTTGAGTCAGATTTTCAATTGTACGAATCCCATTTTCATGTTCCAACTGTGGTGTGAGTTATGTCATTTTTAGTGAGACATACTCATGAAATCTTTTATTCCGGGGATGCCCAATTGTGGGAATTCATCTCCCTTTTGTTTTCGACCTCACGTAGTGTTATTTTATGATTGATTGGATCTCATTTTACTTCATTGAGTTCATATTTGGGTTCACATTCGCATTTCGTACTAGTTATCGGGTCAGGTTTGGGTTTCTCAGTTGACAAACCGATTTATGATTTTTAGGGTCGTCACATCTCTGCAGGACAACTGGACAAGTGCAGATTTCATGCGCCTCCACCGTCGTGGAATACGCTGGTAATTTCGGGGTCGCACCACTAGTCAGGAACGAATATAAGATGTGCAATAAGAAAGCTAATGTTGTCCACCGTCGTCAACAAAATCAGGCCGTAACGAAACGATAGGGTTTTCAAGAACAAAAATGTACACAAATCGTGATTTTGAGGCAAATTACGGATCTGGTGAGACATAAATTACTATCCAGAAGCGTGAAGGACTCGCCTCTTATAAGACAACTGATGATTGAGTGGGAACTTCCGGCGTCGTTCGCCCGACCTCCTCCGGAGCCGACTGATTGATCAATTTAGGGTTTTGCCCTTTTGCTTTGTTCACCGGATTGTTTGTATGTCTGAGACACGCATAGTCCATGTTTTGTGGATTGGGTTCCCCATTCATAGGCTTGGCCTTAATCTTTTAATTATTCTTCATTTATACAATATTTAACTTCCCAAAAAAAAAAAAAAAAACCACCAACAACAATGACTTCAGCATTCAATAATAAATTTACATACATATATTGCCTGATTTAATAATTTTGTTATAATTACAGATAATCCATATCATAATCTCTATGCATATATTTATATTTTATTGAATAGATTTTTATATGTATGATATATGTATTTATGTAATGCATTGTCATTACACTGAATACTGAAAATTTTGTTATTCCATTATAACATTGTATGTGATCTCATATATTAGTATATATGTGTGTAAATTTATTACTAAATGCTCAAGTAATTGCTAATGTCAGAATATGATATTAGAGAGGGTTAGTTTGGTTCAATAAAATAATTTGTAAAAGTTAAAAAGGTAATTTTAATAATTTAAATAGGTCAGCTAATCAGTCAAAGGAAATAATGTTATTGGAGTGTCATTGTTAAATTTATTAAATCCAAGTGGTGACATTTTAAAAAAAATAAATCATATTGTATCTTTTGTAAAAAATCCAAGCTTCAGAGTGTCATTGTAAATTATCCAATAAATTATATCTCAGCCATAAGAAAAATTAGTTTTACATTTTGATTTATGAAGTTTTTATTCAACTGTAAAGATTTTCCATTCTTAAAGTTCAAAAAGCACTAGGGCAACTCTTGAGCTATTACTACCATTGTTGTCCGGACACACTTAAGAGTGTACAGTTCTTTTAATTGACTATTAGAAATCAAATTAATCTTTTCTTTATTTTTTCTTTTCGTAAAAGTGTACAGTTCTCTTAATTGACTACGTAGTATTAGAAATCAAATTAATCTTTTCTTTATTTCTTTCTTTTTTGTCACGAAAAGAAAAAATAAAGAAAGAAGAGCAAATTTTATCAATTTGAATATTATGCTGTGTTTGGTGGAAAGACAGGAAGGGATATAGAGAGAAAATAGAAAGGAAGAAACTAATTTCATTTGTTCCATAGAAATGATACAAGAAAAAAGAAGTACAAGAAGGATGATCAATCCGTCATTTTTTACAAATTTTCAAACAGAAAGCTAAGGGTGCGTTTAGTAATGTTTTGGTTTTCTATTCTTGCAGTAGCAAAAAAACAGAAACATAATTTTGTTTTTCAAAGTAAAAACAGAAACATAAAATAACGTTTGGTAACCTTTGCTGTTGCCACAATTTTAATAACAAAAAACAAAAAGTAGTGTTTAGTAAAACATTTGTTACAAATTTTTTTTTTTTTTTTTGGAAATTTTTTTAATTTATTTTTTCATCCATTTATCAAAATGTAACTTTCAATCACAATAAAAGATATAATCTAAAAAGGAAAATATATATATATATATATATATAAGGCAAGATAAGCGTACAATTGTATAATGTATATATATAGAATATAAAAATAGATTTTATATATACATATATATTAACAAAAAATCTGAAAACAAACCATAACCAATACATGTATAACAGTCAAAAAAAGGAAAAAAATAAAATAAAGGGCGTACAGTTGTATAATGTATATATATATATATATATATATATATATATATAGATTTTGTACAATGTATACATATATAGAATATAAAAGTACTAATGGAGTTGATAGAAAAAAATATAAACCTACTCTACCCTCGATAAGATTGATTAGATTTCATTATCAAGGATAAGGAAATCAAATCTGACTTGGTTCAACAAGTAAGAATAATCCTACAATAACTGGAGGAGGTCAAAATGATTAAATCATATCCCGACAAATCTGGTAATAAATCTCCTATGATTTCGCACAAGCGGAAGATAAGGTCAACCATCGACATCAGCGGAACGATTTTGATTCTAATCGACAGCCATAAATAGGGCATCAAGCCATTAAAGAAGGTACGACGTAAAAACTATTATTAATCCCTGCCTTCTTTTTAGACCTCCGTGACTAATTTGATCGTCGGAGAGCTCTTGGCGGGCACCACCGTCAAGGTTCATCGATCTTCTCCTCTTTTCCTTGCAGGAAAACGGTATCGTATCGAACTGCGAGAATTTCAGCCTCAACAGTTGGCGCCGTCTGTGGGAATCACGATTCCCTTGAATCAATTAATTACTCGTTGGGTATATACGTTTGCAGTCCGGTATGGTTACCGAAGGAACACAGTCGCAGGGATCTGGTCAAAGGGTAGAGTCGGGTGAAAACCTGGACGTCCCAAACGACCAGGCACGGCTTGCAGCGTTGGAACTACAGGTTCAAACTCTGAGTCAGGGTATGAACCAGTTGATCCAGCAAAATGCAACGCTCTTGCAACACCTTGTTCCACCGGCTCAACAAAACTTTTCAGGACAAGATCTTTCAAGTCCAAACGGAGGTAATGAAAATCTTGAAGAGATGGATAATCATTCCCCCCAAAATGAGACTGAAGTGGAAGCAAGCCAGGTGGGAACCCGACATAGAGAGGTGGTTCACCCATTTCTCCTACGGAGTTCCCGACCTCCTGAAAGCATAGCCTTCTGTCTTAAGGAAAAGACAAAGAAAGTTACCTATCTCGACTTGCAGATCAAGGATCTTAAGGGGAAAATGGAAGATGTAATGCAGGCTATGAAAGCGAAAGGTCCTGCTGCCGTAGATGACCTGGTACAAAGGACCAACTTGCCTTTCAGCCCCGCCGTTATGAAATGTCCACTACCTAGCAAGTTCAGGATGCCCTCGTTCGAAAGCTTCGATGGGACCAAAGATCCCCTCGATCACCTGGAAAGTTTTCAAGCTCTTATGCATTTACACGCTGTGCCAGATGAAATCATGTGCCGAGCTTTTCCCACTACACTGAAGGGATCAGCGAGAGTTTGGTTCAACAAGTTGAAGCCAGGAACCATCAACACCTTCGAAGAATTGAGTAAGCAGTTTGTGAGCCACTTCATTGCAGGTCAGAGGCATAGGAGGCCGGCTACCTACCTGTTTACCGTGGAGCAACAAAAGGAAGAGTCAATTCGGGAATACATCACCTGATTCAACGCAGAGATGTTGCAGGTAGAAGAGGCGGACGACAAGGTAGCTTTGACCGCTTTCATAGGAGGACTCCAAACCTCCAGATTCTTATTCTCCTTATCAAAAGAACCTCCCACCAGCATGATAGAGTTGCTGGTCAGAGCATAAAAACACATCAACGCTGAAGACACCATGAGTGCACGGAAGGAAGGAAAGGACAAGAAGAGGCCAGCCCCTCTCGCCAGGGATGAAAATAATACTAAATATAAGAAATCGTTCTTCAGCCAGAGTGACATCACATATCATGAGAATGACTCAGATAAGTATACCGACTAGAAATTGTCTCGCGGCTAGAATTAGCCTTATCAAGTCATTCACAATAAAGACTGGGGGCATCTTAGTTAATCATTTTAAATGGAGGGTAGCTCCATCACGTGTTGTTTTGTTTTTAATAATGATGGTCTTTAATAAAATTCTTTTTAGTTTATACGTGCAGTATCCCCGTACTATAAGGGATAGTAAATGAGTGTCCTGTATTACAAGGACCCGGGCTGAATGAATCCCGTAATCCGTATCCCCGTACTATAAAGGAATAGTAAATGAGAGTCCTGTATTACAAGGACTTGGGCTGAATGAATCCCGTCATCCATATCCCTGGACTATAGGGGATAAGTATCTTGTATTATCAAGACCCAGGTTGAATGAATCCCGTAATCCATATCCCTGTAATATAAGGGATAATAAATGAATGTCATGTACTACAAGGACCTGAGTTGGATGAATCCCATAATTAATATCCCCTTATAATAAGGGATAGTAAATACAAATCCTTTATTAAAGAGGTGAGCTGAGTAAAACTCGTAAAGTTCAATTCCCTTACTAAAGGGACGAGCTGAATTCCCTTATTAAGGAGTGAAACTCATATAATTTATTCCCTTATAAAAGGAAGAGTACTGTTCCCTCGGGTGAAAAAAAAAAAAAAAAAAACAAAAAAAAAAACAAAACAAAAACCCAGAGTTACTATTCACATGAATAGTGCCCGCGGGCACTATTCACAGGGGTATTAAAAAAAAAAAAAAAAAAAAATTCCCTGAGTTACTATTTACGTGAATAGTACCCGCGGGTACTGTTCATCGGGGTTGAAAAAAAAAAAAAGAAAGAAAGAAAAGAAAAGAAAAGAAAAAGTATTATTATTATTTATTACATTCCCAAAGCTAGACGTGCAAGCTTGGGAATGGGGGGCAACTGATAGGGAAAAATATAAACCTACTCTACCCTCGATAAGATTGATTAGATTTCATTATCAAGGATAATGAAATCAAATCTGACGTGGTTCAACAAGTAAGAATAATCCTACTATAACTGGAGGAGGTCAAAATGATTAAATCATATCCCGACAAATCTGGTAATAAATCTCCTATGATTTCGCACAAGCGGAAGATAAGGTCAACCATCGACATCAGCGGAACGATTTTGATTCCAATCGACAGCCATAAATAGGGCATCAAGCCATTAAAGAATGTACGACATAAAAACTATTATGAATCCCTACCTTCTTTTTACTAAACATGATTTTTGTATTTGTTTCTTCTTTTTAGACCTCCGTGACTAATTTGATCGTCGGAGAGCTCTTGACAGGCACCACCGTCAAGGTTCATCGATCTTCTCCTCTCTTCCTTGCAGGAAAACGGTATCGTATCGGACTGCGTGAATTTCAGACTCAACAGGAGTAATGTCAGTAGTTGTGTATTAATGGAAGAGTAATGTCAGTTGTTGAGTAAAAAACGAGGGAAACAGTGGTGAAAACGTTTCCTCTGCTACAGTGAAAAAACACAGAAAACATCATTTTGATGTTTTCTCTTTCTTTCATAAAAATGAGAAATGTTTTTCATTAAGAGGAAACAAAAACAAATTACTAAACATGATTTTTGTATTTGTTTCTTCTTTTTAAGGATTGACAACAGAAAAAAAAAAAAAAATGTTTTGGATTACTAAACACACCCTAATATATGTGTTTTGATTAAGTGTTTGTTGCACCACTACATCATTGCAACCAATAATTTCTCGAAGAGAGGAGGGAAGACAAGTGGATTATTATAGAAGTTTTAAATTAAGTATTATCCTATATTATTCAACTTTTAAATTACAATATTATCCTCTATAAATTACAATATAATAAATATTATTAAATATAATGATAAAAACAATTAAAACTTTATATTTTTCTCTCTTTTAACGAATATAGTAAATTATGAATTTATTCTCTTCTTTTATATCCAACCCAATAAAAAGAAGGAAATACATAATCTTTTTCCTAATGCTATGCTCAGTAAGAAGGAAGGAAGGAAGAGGTGCGAAGGGAAAATAGGAAGGAACGAACAAAAGAAAAATAGGAAGGCTGAGTCATCCTTCAACGAGGGAAGCAAAAGTTTTGAATTAAATACTATCCTAAATTATATAAGTTTTAAATTACCGTACTATTCTCTATAAATTACAATATTATAAATATTATTGGATATAATAATAAAAACAATTAAAACTTTCTTTTTCACCAACAAACCAGTGGCCGGTACCGAACTCCTACTTTCCAAAGGGAGGGGGAGGCATGGGTGTGAAAGTCAATTAAAAAAAAAAAAAAAAACTTCCTTTTTCCTTTTCTCTTAATTAAAGTAAATTATGAGTTTATTCTCTTCTATTCAACCGAATAAAAATACACAATCTCTTCCCTAAAAATATCTCATCCTTCCATTATTCTCTTCCTTTCATCTAATTTTTATCCAATTTTTTCTTTCATACTGAACAGAGCATAAAGATGTGTGACATGTCTCATCCATCCCTTCCATCCAATTTTTTTCTTTTTTACCGAACAGAACATTAATCAAATTTGACTCAATACACCTCCCTAATTCCAAGTTTGCACCATCAGTTTGTAAATCATGATGACATAAAATATATATGTATATACATCCCCAATGATAATTCAGTACATATATAAATTGCGAGTACAATTAAAAAAAAAAAAAAAAAAAATTCTCTTAATTAACAAAAATTATAAGTTTATTCTCTTCTATCCAACCGAATAAAAAAGAATAAAAATACACAATCTATTCCCCAGAAATGTCTCATCCTTCCATTATTCAAATTTGAGTCAATACACCACCCTAATTCCAAGTTTGCACCATCAGTTTGTAAATCATGATGACATATAATATATATGTATATACATCCCCAATGATAATTCAGTACAAACATAAATTGGGCGTTCTACAATTAAATCCCTTCCCATTATCATTATCAAAATGCTTCGAACTTTTTTCAAAAGCAAGTGAATATATATATATATATAACGGTTTCAAGTATTCCGAGTGAAAAAGAAGTCGATCTTGATACTTGATATTATTATCATATCCCACCTCTCATATTTTCTCCTCAAAATTCAGCTTCATTTAAAGGCACATACAAACATGTCATGTACCTCTGTTTCCATCTTTTGGGCAGATATTTTTGGCCACATATACAGATTTGAAGAAAAGTTCTGAGTCAGATAAAAATATCAAATAAAACAAAGTGTATTACATTGCCGAAGGGAAGACTTGCAGTCTTTCCTAGTCAAATGGATCTATTCTCGGATCATGCTCGCTCGCCATTACCATCCCCGTGCATAGACAAGTTGGGCACATTACCTAAGAAAACACAGACGACTAGATAAGAAATTTGATAAAAGATGGTCACGTTACAATAGTTGTCAACAATTGTAAACACTTAAGCATTCATTACCTCCAACCAGCAAACCTGTTTTTTTTTTTTCTTGGAATGTGACCGGCAAACGTTGTACAAGCAATATGGTAACATTTATGGTCAAAGAAAGACATATAACAATAGTTTGTCTGCTAATATTATCAGGCATATTAAAGTCCTTATTTGTGAAGCGTTACAACTTTCGAAAGATGTTCAAGCAATATGCTAACATTTATGGTCAAAGAAAGACATATAACAATAGTTTGTCTGCTAATATTATCAGGCATATTATATGTAAAGTCCTTATTTGTGAAGCGTTAGAACTTTGGAAAGATGTTTCTTCATCAAATCACTATTTTTTACCTTTTTTGTTAACAAGAACAATTCTGAAGAGGTGAATCAAACCACACAGACATTTTTCCAACAGATAAGTTTATATGAAACAAATTTATTCTGAATAATTGCTTTGATGCCAGTTTGTATTCCATGAAGCTTGAGTTGAATAATTATATACCTTTCCTGCCCCTGAGCAGTTTAGACACCTTTGAGTTGTGGGCGCTCGTAATGGGTGATTAGAAGCAATGGTCGCTGAAATGGGTTCAATATTTAAACACACGCCACTTGCAGAACAACGGGCACAGGCCAAGTATCCTGTGCAGAGGATCACATGAACAAATAAATGACAGAACTTTTGCTATTTAAAACAACACAAGACCTTCTAACATCATATTGTAGCAATATAACTCACTAACAAGGAAGAATAACCTGACCTAAAATGGAACGCTTCATTACTTAAATCTGCTATGTTTACAGGAATCTGGTACAAGATTTTAACCAGCAATCCTATATCTAGTGACTGGTGGCTTGAATCTTGATATACCAAGATTTCAGTGCTCCAAGAATGAATGGAAATATTAAACATATTGTTGTACATAATTAGATCAATTGATTCAAGTAACAGGCTAACTTCAATTATAATTATTGGAGTACCTCTGACAATAAGAATAAAGCAAGCAGATAATTTTAATATTAAAATTTTGGGTCAATTTCACTGACACCCCCTCAGGTCTGGCCAGATATTACCTTCAAACAACTTTCGAAAATTACTATCACTCATACTATAAATGTTTGTTCCGTTTTTCACTAACACCCCAACTGTTAACTTTAGGCATTTGACACTATACAAAATGACTTAAATGCCCTTTGACTTTGTCAAAAAAAATCTTTAACTTAAAAGAAATATACTAAAAGACTAAATGTTTTGCAAATTTACAATTATATATGTATATATGAGTATATATATAGTGTGTGTGTGTATATATTTGAGGTGTATCGGTACTCTAGCAACCACCTCTTACATCACCACCACTGCAACTGGTAGCCGCCCGGTACCACCACGGCGGCAATATCCCAACTGCCACCGCCACCTCACCCCAAAATCACCTGCAGTAACCACCACCACACCCAACAACTAACAGAGGCACCACCACCATGAACTCCACCCTCATATCTACCACCAGATCTCAGTCGGATGCACACCCATTAACGACGTCGATCTACTAAGAACAAGTGGTGTGATTTGTTTCTGATGGATTGCTGTGTCTAGAGATGGAATAAATTGTAGTTAGGGAATAGTTGAAAAGGGAAACAGAGTATCTCATTCTCTTTCTGATTGTTCTTGTTGGATTTTTGGGAGGTCAAAGTTTGGCGTGTGTTGATGTTGTAAAAAATGGAACATTCTCAATGAAAAATTAGGGCTTGTGAATTCAATAGATGAAGAGAGAAAATTAGGATTTGAACAAATTAGGGTTTGGTTAATAAACTTGGTGGTAATTTGATGCCTGTGTTCTTCATTAGGTGAAGCAATCCAAAAACAATGACCAAAGCTGTGATGACGAATTGAAGAAACCAATTGAGATGCCATAGGAAATCCAGAGATGCATTGATGACTCTGCATGCCTAGGTTCCAGATTAAAATTTTTAGGAATTTCCATCGATAAATTGAATTAAGCCAGAGAAACACCATACACATATGTATATGTGTATACATATACACGAATATATATATATATGTGTGTGTGTGTAGGACTCTATTTTCTCACTAATTACGTGTTTTACATTCAACAAACAAGGAAACTTTATGCGTAGCCTTCCAAGTTTTCTCCATTTTTCCTTTTCTTTCCAAATCCTTCAAAGGAAAGGAAAAGGAACCAAAAGAACCGTTTATGGAAATAATAATAATAATTAAAATAAAAAAATCATTGGTGATGAAGGGCAACACAAGTGAATTTGGCAGTGGAGATGAAAGAAGAGGTAGATTAGTTAAAAGGTCGACTCTGGCAATGATGGTGTGGTGGTGGGGGGTGGCCGTGCCGGCTTGGAAGAGAGAATGAGTGAGTGAAAGTGAGGGTGAGGGGGTAATTTTGTCTTTTTACAATTATAAGGTTTTAAATTAAAAGGCATTAAAAAAATAAGGGTAAAAATGTCATTGCACACCCATTTTGACGGTGTTAGTGACAGAAAAGTGATTTGGGGTGTGAGTGATAGTATTTTTCGAAAGATGTTTCAAGGTGATATTTGGCCAAACTTGAGAGGGTGTCAATGAAATTAACCCTAAAATTTTAAGAACAAACTCTGTATCTCAATCAGACCTGAGCCCTGTCAGCTTAATCTCAACCTATTCTTCAGTTCAAGTTTTAGTTTCAAGGATTGAAATAGAAATTGAAATAGAACAAGAGAATCTTGCTTCCTGTTCTAATACGAGTTTATGAGTTGCATAAGGGATGCAGTGGAAGAGGGTTGCAAACCCCGTGTTCATTGAAAAAAAAACTTAATGTATCCTGCAAAAATAATAATTATATCAATAGTCATAATAATATGATTCTAGAGGGAGCAATTGAATGACGTTTGATGGGCAAGAAAAAGGTCTCACAACAAATTGACACATACCGGTTCCATGGCAATACTTGCACCTTTTCTTCTCTTGTTGCTCAACATTGTTAGCTTCAATTAACATCAAAGCCGAGATTACCCCCACTGCTCCACCTGAAAATGATGCCACGATAGGATCCACCTGACTAGGTAGAGAAGATAAACAAGAAAAAATTAGGGAACTTGAAGTATTGTTATTGTTTAAAAAAAAAAAAAAAAGGAAGAAAAAAAAAACATCTATTTAGATTCTTGTGAACAAAATATAGAATATATGAAGATGCTCGTGATACACAATCCTTGTAACAGAGAGAACAAAACTTTAAGTTTTTTCGTAAGTACCTTAATTGCAGAGGCAAATGCATGCTGCGTATGAAATCTTCATATGAGGTGCCACCTATTCCTAATCTCAGCTCCAGCTGCCATTTGAAACAGGCTTGTCAGTTCAAGTAATGTCATTTTAAATCTCAAACAGTGCCATTTTTCAGCTCAACTAATGTCATTATTAATTACCATATACTGTAAAAGCTTAAGCTATTATAGAGGTGTAAGTGTAACTTAATTGATTGTATCCCCTTAATACAAAGGAACAAAAACACACACATAACATTCCCTTAGGTTCAACCATAAATAAATTTGATGGAAATTTGCCGAAATCATTCAATTAAATACAGATTGAGCTAAGAGAAACATGAGCTTATTAAAGCAACAAATTCTTAGATAGTTATAAGGATCACCATCATTATCAGGTTGGCATTAAAAAGACAGATACATAAAGAGGAAAAATCCCCCATCACAGGTTCTAGGCAAGAGAATGCAAGTGCTGGAATCGGACAAACGTCTGAACATCATCCTGAAAAAACAAATGCATGGGAGGAACAACCCATCCATTATAATTCCAAAGAAATCCTTTTGGCATCATTCTAATTCCGAAGAGAACCTGCAAAACTTTGTTTATCGACAATTGAATGGAGTTTTCTCGTATTTTGACTCGAGAATATACAGGAATATCACAATGGAGAAACTGAACTAGCCTGAAAAGCAACAAATTTGGTCAAAAATACATTTCTTATTTTTTATTTCTTGTCCAAAATCACCTGCTATGAGTTACTCCCACCCTACTATGGGTGCTTCTCGTATTAATCTTATTTATCCTTGTGTTTCCACGTCCAAGCACCCTGGTACAACTGCATCATTGTTCGATTGTGTCGCTCTTCACTAACCAAAATTCTTTACAAGTCATCATACTTTACAGAAAACAAATCTTAGATTTCATTACTTCTACCTTCAGATGCTTGTTCTTGCAAGCATAAATTAACCCAGAATTATCACAGCCAATACAAGAAAAAGGAAAGAAAAAAAAAACGAAAAAGGGCTAGCTGACATTATAGGGTTTGGGGAGGATTAGATGCATGCAGCCTTACCTCCGCATGTGGAGAGGCTTTTTCCCATTTCAAACCCGTGACCTCCAAATGCCAATACACAAAGACAAATTAAATTCAGGTAAAAAAAAAAAAAAAGAGGTACAAGAATCTGGCGCTTTTAATTTTTCATTTTTCTGAAAACTATTAAGTAGCCTGTTCGGCTTAATATGTCCTGACCTTCACATATTACTTAGAATCTAGAATTATTGAAGAATCATCTAGCTGTTTACAACCACTGCAAAGAATATCCTAAGAAAACAAAAAACTACAAAAAGTTGTTGGTTACTATTTTAAAATTTTCAAAAAACTCCATTAAAAAAAAAGCTTGTTTTCATATAAATATTTTTTATAGTTTTCTGAAAACAGTTTTCTATTTCCAGAGTTCTTGAGAATTGTTTTCAAAAAAGTTTTTCTATAACCACTTTTTATGGTTTTCTATTTCCAAAGTTTCTTGAGAATTGTTTCCAAAAAACAGAACCACACAGACCCTATAAAGTTCAGCACTTTGTTAATGATCATATGGTGAGAATAGAAGGGGAAACAATCATTTATTTGCTTCATAAACTTACTGTTGGTGCAAGAAGGCCTCCAAAGAGAATAATTGCAGATATAAACGAAAAGCTTGTCAGGTAGAGCTGCTTCAATGTCTTTGGCGTCTACCAAAAGGAACGTGCACAACTTTAGTTCAAGAATCATGACAGCCATAAAAATTCTGGAAAATCCCTACTTTAAAAGAACTAGGAGGAAATTTTTTTTGTTGTAAGTTGTTTACTGCTTGAGAAAATAGAAATACCAAGAAATGCATGAGGGCAGCCATATCAATATTTACCCAACCCATGTTAGTACACGTAGTACAACTCCAAAAAAATAAATCAATAAATAAATAAAATATATAAAACAAAAACAAATTGCAGGAACTTTAACCATCTTGCCAATTTTGGAGTTCATCTGGAGGAGTGTAATGCTTAATGGTTAAGAGTTTTCTAACTCTTTTTGGCCACCAATATACTCATGGGCCCAGACAAATGTCGTGAGTTCCACACAACTGTATCTGTATGCACTCCGTGTGTGTTTTCCTGGAGTTGGCGGAGAGTCTGTATGAAAAGAATTGTTCTGAGAATTACCACATGAGGGAGAAAGGGAATGGATGATGGGATATCGGGCATCTCATTTTCCTCCTCGCCGCTTTCATCAATAACTTTCACACTCTTTATGCGTTGTTGTACTCGCAACCTACGTACCTTTACAAAATTGATACGAAGATAACAGAATTATTCAATTGTGCCAAATGTAATATAGTAAATGATTCCATAACACGAAGGCTTTAAGAGAGGAGAAATAGTTTTGTGTATGAAAATCTTAGTTGACTTTAGAAATTAAACCTCTTCCATGAGTAGAAAGATCTTATTCCGCCTACTCCTGATGTTGTCTTGGATTTCCTGTAGCTGCATCTGAACAAAATCCTGAACTGTCTCGGGTCCTTCTATAATGCAGAAGTTGCTGCAACAGAAGATATATATATATATATAATGATATTCTCAGTAACTAATTCTTGTAATTTGAGACCATGGTAACATAAGAATATTGCATTAAGATAAAGATATAATGAGATTACCAAATCGAAAGCTTCTAATATTCTGGATATCTCGTTCGTGTGTGTGTATATATATTGTGATCTACAATCCCACTACAGAAAACAGATATAAAGCAACAAAATGAAACACGGAACTTCATTGTTTTAGAAACAAGGTGGATTCATTTCCTAGTATATAGGCAAAATATATGGCTATTACATCATTTGATTTAACCATCTGACAAAAACATTGTCTTAATTTTTCAATTAAACAAGGTCATGGATCCAGCGTCAAACAATAATATACCTCAAATTAGCAGAAATCTTCATTTCAACACCAACAATATTTTTTTTTTTTGGCTTTACATTTAAAGAAAAAGGAAAACACACACACCTTCACAAATCCAAACACATTAATATCTTCAAAGAACAGAAGAGCCTCATCTACGATAGTGCGATAGTTCTTCAGAATTGGTTGCAATCACTAAAATACCATGTGATTCCAGTGTCCCGATTAAACTAGACACTCATTCATGTTACCAACTTAAATTAAAAATATGAAAACTAAAAATTAAAGTGAAGAAAAATTATATTTTCATTTATTCTCCCAACAACAAAACGGAGGGCAATTTACAGATGAGTAAAGTAAAGAAACAAATATATATATATATATATATATATATATATATATCTCTGAAAAAAAAAAAAAAAAAGCCGAACCTTGGGATGTTATCGCCGGCAGGGATGGAGTCAGAGGCGTCCCTTGCAGAAAAACAAACAAATGGAGGTCGAAAAGCATGTTTGGATAAAGAAAGGCTTTTAGGGCTTCCATGAGAAGAGTTTCTTCTGGTGATTAAAAGTAGGGTTTTGGTAGAATCGAAATTGGAAGGGTAAATTGATGGAAGATGGCAGTAGAGAGAGAAAGTGCCCATTATACCATGCCCAGCGCAGCTGCGGGCTAATCCGAATGTTAGAGAGGGGAGACTTAAGGAGTGACGCACGCCAAAGAGCAGTTATGTTTGTAAGCAGTGAGTTATAGAATCAAGATTGGAGTGCAACAAAATGAGCCTCCTTTTATGAAAAACAGTGTTATATTCAGAAATTTTAGTGCGTGGAGAATGTTGGACGTGTAACATTCTCGATAAGCAGTGAATCCCAATTTGCTAGTGGAGAAAGTATTAAATTAGAGTAATCATACTGGGTCCCAGTTTTTGGGCCGAAAAGTTGTCACAATATTATGTGGCGTTGACATCACTCAATTCCTGACTTGTAAAACAATATTGCAATCATATAAAAAGACTATTCTACCCCCATAACCCATCAGTTCAGAATTCTCATCTTCCCATCTAACTACAGTTTTTCTCTCTCAAATTTATTCAATCTCTCAGTGAATTTCTCTCCTCCATCTCTTTGATTACTTTGTTCCCCCCTCTCCACCCCCACAACCTTTTTACTTTCCTATTGTCTTGTAAAGCATTGCACATTAAGGGTGTGTTTGGTAGGGTTGATTTGGAGGGATAGGGAGAGAAAAGAAAAGAGAGGATAGTGTAAGTTTGTGTTTGGGTAACTTAAGTGGAAGGATAGGGAGGGATAAGGAGAGATAGGGAGGGATAGCTATCCCTCCTTATCTCTTATTTGTTTTCTCCTCAAAATTGAGAAGATAGGGAGAGATAGTGAGAGAAAGGATAGTGATTTTAGTGGTATTTTGATAATACCAAAATTAGCCTCCACAAATCAATACACAGATTTAATATTCCATCCAAGTCCCATGGTTATGAAAGGGTAAAAAAGTAATTTGTCTATTATCCTTTCTTTTCTTTTCTCTCCTCTATCTTATCCAAACAAAAATAACTATCACTTCTTTTCTTTTCTCCCCTGTCTATCCAAACACAAATAGAAATTATTACTATCCTTTCTTTTCTTTTCTTTTCTTTTCTCACTAATACTATCCTTTCTTTTCTTTTCTCTTCTCTCATAACTAATACTATCCAAACACACCCTAAACCATGACACAGACCAATTTTTCTTCACAAAATCTACACGGGTACATTGAGTACAACATCGCAGAGACCCAATTTCCTTCACAATAACAAGATAAAGCTTAAAAATTAGGGTTTATACGAGATAGATGTGAAGTCGAAGAGAGTCAGAATCGAAGAAAAATAAAGTTATAAGAGGATTTGTTGGGAAACTAAAATCAAGATTTCTTCACTGAGTTCTTTTCTTATGTTTTTTATTTGAGGCAAGTCACAAAGATTTTATTAACTGACAGAAAACGATGGTTTCCAATCTAAAAGCACAGAATCCTTAGAGCAATGGGAATTACATCACCAAAAAAACATCTTCTGCTTGAGTAGCAAACCATTTTCTTTGGGTTTGATGGGTACTCTTTATTTTTACAAGATTTATTAAATTGGTTTTTGATAATGGTGGTGGTGGAAGATTGTTTATGAAGATCATACTCATAGTGCTGATGATACAATGTTGTTGTTTGGCTCTTTTCTTTTTTTTTTTTTTTTTTTTTTTTTTTTTTTTTTTTTAGGACGTGCCAGAGTCTTTTTGATTCAGATTTTGGATAATCAAACTAGATGATTGGATAACAAAATTCGTCTCTAAATAGAATCAGGCGATTGTGGAAAGCAATGATGACCCTTCCTTTAGGCTCTTCACTATCTCAATTGAGAGAACTTTTGATAAAATAAAATAAAGGGAATTAAAGAAGGGAACAAAGCAAACTGCCCAAACGTCCATCTACTCCAAGAGCAACTTACAAAACAATAATGGAGGAGACAACAAAGTCTAAGCGTCTACTTTATTCTATAAGTAGTAATCTTATACAAGAGTACAAGAAATAGCGTTTGAATCTACTAGAACTACTCCTATGAAAGGCAATAAAATACAAGTTGAATGAAAGTAAAAGACTACATTGTAAGAAAATGCAGATTGTTGTTTGGTCGGGGACCTTTTGCAACGTCTTCTCTAGCGTCTTTTATAACGTCCTAGAGCAGTTGAAAGTAGTTAATCAGTAGTTGGAACCTCCACTTAGTTTAAATTCAAAACTCCACTATTTGAATTTAGTTCATTTCACATGGATAATTCCCAAATAATTCATGCAACAATTTGAAGATTGGATCTGACAGTAATGGTTTTGATTGTGTTCCTGCAGATTTTATTTGGTTGTTGAAGATTGAATCTGACAGTAATGGTTTTGAATGCGTTCCTCTTCCGACGACCAGAACAGTCAATTATAGGTTTGACGGAGAAGGGTATGATGGATCTCCATGGAGATGGGTAAATTGGGTCACAGCCTTCTTACTTTGACCATAGGTAACCCATCATCTCCGATCCTTAGCGTCGGCATCATCAACTCCATTGTGAAATATTCGAGATATAGATGGAGATGGAGATATTGTAGATAGACAGAGGGTAGAGGAAAGAAAGAAAGAAAGTGATAGAGAAATAAAAAGATTTTAGGCATAAATAAGAAGTGACGTGGTATTGACAGAGTATCATTACTCATTAAATTATGGTACCGAAACAGTAAAAACAGTTAAATCATAGTCACATTCAAAGATTGGAATGACCACGGAATATTTAATACTTTTTTCCTGCTTAGTGATAGTGTTAGTTACTCACATCTCAAGAAAAAGAGTTACTGTTAATTTAGGGTCCGTTTGGCAACCACAGTTGCTTTGTGTTTTTGCTTTGACTCAAAGCAAAATCAATGTTGCCTCTTTAGAGTTTGTTCAACACTATTTTGAAGCTTGTTTGGTAACGTAAATTTGTTGCAAGATTTTTAAAAGCAAAAATATAAGAGCATGTTTGTTAAAAAGTATTGCAAGTTTGAAAAATTAAGTGGATAGTTAAAAATATTAATTTAGAATAAAATAAAATAAAATTGAACAGTGTTTTGCTACAGTGCGAAAGCAAACAAAAACATCATTTTGATGCTTCTGATTTTGGCCACAATTTTGGAAGCGTTTCGATACTATTCAAATGACAGTAAATGTTACCAAATATGTTTCGTGTTTTTACTTTGCTACAGTACTGTGGAGGGAAAAATCCCCCTTCAGTGAGAGTCTTCCTCGTCATCATATTACGAATTTATATTTTTGATCCTTTGATATATTGCGGGAGCCTAATCCGGGTCGAGCCCAAGTTGCGGAAGCCCAATCCGGGTCAAGCCCAAATTGAGTCTACCTTTAGACCAAGATCGATGGCACTAGTCGTCCAACCCGTTATTCAAGCCCAGCTGGTCCAAGATGTATTGGGTCCAAACTATTTAAGAATGAATAAGTCCGGCTAATCAAATGATTCATCATAGAAAGAAAACTTTATGAAAGGAAAGTTTGGCATGGAAGGAATTATAAAAAGAAAAGAACTTTATTTCTAAATAATGATGTATATGGAATGAATTGGAGGTGAATTGGAGGATGAGCAAGGCGAGTTCTACCAAAATTTCACCAAATTTTTATATATAAATAGAGGACTAGACCTCCAATAAAGATCGAGCAATATACGCTTTCCTTTGAATAATTCTTGATGCTTTTTATTTTACTTTGAGTGAGTTGTATTATTTCTTTTAAAAAAATTTTATTGATAAAAATTTTGCACCTAAAAGTACATACTCAACTCCATTACCATATTGCATAGCCTCCACTTTCAAGTTAAGAAATTTCTCTTATTTCCTTCTTTGTATTTTAAATTTTGTCCATATTCTTTTCTTTTTAAAAATAAAAATAAAAAATTGATTGAATTTCTAACCCAAATTAATTAAAAATGGAATGAATTATTATTATTTAAGTCAAATTCAGAATACCAAATTTGGCCAAGTGCCCTAAAATGTAAAAACTTTGATCCCAATTCCCAAATGGGTGAAGTGGAAAAACACTCTTTGTAGCTTGAAAAGTATGTAAATAACATTCTTTATGTTCAAATCCTACCATTATAGTATGAAAAATGAGCAAACAAGGGTTTATTGTCAGTTAAATAAGCTGAGATAAGTAAAAGTACAAAAATACCCCTCAAGATTCTCTTTACAAAAATAATAAAAGATGAGTAAAAGTTGAAATTATTTAACAGAGTTTTCACAAAATTAGAGAGTAAAATCAAATGAAATATAACATAAAAAATTAATAAATAATAAATAATATATAATATATATATATATATATATATATCTCTTTAAATCAAATAAATAATTTTTATTATTATCTTTATCAAAAAATCAAATGAAATATAATGTAATATATACATATATATATATATACATATATATATATATATATATATATATATATATCATTTGGTCAAGCATTAAGGGTTTGTCATTTGTATAAAAGAAAATAGTTTATTCCGCATGATAAACATATAGTATTTTTATATTTATTTATATTAATATTCAGTGCTTATTCATAGGAATATGATTTGGCACTTAACTTTATATATATATATATATATATATATATATATATATATATATATATATATATATCATTTGGTCAAGCTTTAAGGGTTTGTCATTTGTATAAAAGAAAATAGTTTATTCCGTACGATAAACATATAGTATTTTTATATTTATTTATATTAATATTCAGTGCTTATTCATAGGAATATGATTTGACACTTAACTTTATATATATATATATCATTTGGTCAAGCATTAAGGGTTTGTCATTTGTATAAAAGAAAATAGTTTATTCCGTAAAACATATAGTATTTTTATATTTATTTATATTAATATTCAGTGCTTATTCATATGAATATGATTTGGCACTTAACTTTATATATATTAATATTCAGTGCTTATTCATAGGAATATGATTTGGCACTTAACTTTATATTCAGTGCTTATTAATATTCAGTGCTTATTCATATGAATATGATTTGGCACTTAACTTTATATATAAAGTTAAGTGCCAAATCATATTCATATGAATAAGCACTGAATATTAATATAAATAAATATAAAAATACTATATGTTTATCGTACGGAATAAATTATTTTCTTTTATACAAATGACAAACCCTTAATGCTTGACCAAATATTTCATTCTTGAATGAGTATGTATTAGGTATAGACATTTAGGTGTGTATATATTCATCTTATTGATATTTAATTTTGTTTTTTTTTTTTTGATAAATTAATATTTAATTATTTGATCACGTGAATATAAGAAAATAAATTACTAATATAATATGTAAATCACTTTTATGTTTTAGAATATATTATTATTTCTATTAAAAAAAATATTATTGTATATATACACACAACATAACATCTCATACATGGACACACAGAAAGTCTGATAGACACTCAGATATAATTTTTTTAGAAAGATAAATTTAATTTATTTATTATTTATTACAGAGTATTATTAGTGTTAAAGAAATATACGTGGGAGAGAGCCGTTAGAGAGAAAAGATATATATATATATATATATACACAAACATATATTATAGAAAGAGAAATAAAAATAAATTATAAATAGAGGATTTAAAGAGAAAAATAATGAAATTGAGGTAGTATAAATATAAATGAGGGAGAAACACACAGAGAGTCTGATAGACACTAAGATATAAGTAGAATTTTGGAAGAAAGATAAATTTAATTTATTTATTATTTATTGCGGAGTATTATTAGTGTTAAAGAAATATACGTGGGAGAGAGCCGTTAGAGAGAAAAGATATATATATACAAACATAAATTATAGAAAGAGAAATAAAAATAAATTATAAATAGAGGATTTATAGAGAAAAATAATGAAATTGAGGTAGTATATATATAAATGAGGGAGAAATGATGAGTGGCAATCAGAAAGTCTAAAAAGATATTGTTGGTATTAAAGAGTTTTTTTTATCACATGACCAACACGTATCACTTTTTGGAGTCAGAAACCCTTATTTACTCATTTTTATTATTACAAGATTAAAATATAATTGTGCAAGTCATATAATTAAATCATAAAGAGTGAAAATTTAAATAAAAGCATGCATAATGAAAACTCACAACACGTGTTTAGAAGAATTGTATAAATTGAGAAGAATTGTATGAATCATACCCACGCAGCGCTTACTTGGCTTCACTGGGTAAATAGTTACAGTAGATACTAAATTTTGTCATGACAACAACATAAAGCACTAACGACAAATGCTCATCACCCGCAACTCTTTATTCATATTGGAAGGCTGTGCTATTAATTAGATTAATGAGTTGACAAAATAATTTTTAAAAAGTACACCAACTATGCATTAAACTTTGTATACAATAATGGACCTTAAATTAAGATTCAAATGAAATTCTTTTTGACTTTTGCTTCATAAACAGTATTCCAAAATATTTAGAACTCAGTTTTTTTTTTTTTTGCTTATATGGAGTAAGATACAAGATTAAAAAATAAAATAAAACCACGGAAAATCACCGAACTTACAACACTAGAACAGCGGAATCAACTCTCACACTCTGAATTTAGTACCACTCTTTATAAAGCAAGATCAGCCTCTGCCATTCCTACCACCTAGCAGAACAATAGTTTCTTTCTGATTTTGGGTTTCTGTGTTATGGAGAAGAGCAAGCTTCAAGCTTGGGAAGGAGACTTCGCCAGGCATCAGCAATACCATTTGCCAGGCGTGCTTGTCCCTTTGCAAATTCATGGAAAGCGAGCCCCATGTCTAGTGTTTTCTGTTCTTGAAAACGCACAATCTCTTCATTCATTAGCCGCACGATCGTCTCAAATCTTCTTGTTGCTTCCTCACTGTCTGCCTTTAGCTGCATCACAAAACCATATTAGACAATTAAAGCAGATTTCACAAGTGCACAGCAGAGGATGCCTCTAAAAGCTGACTAACCTCTTCATATTCACGCTCAGCATCTAACATCTTTTCTGATCGTGTTAGCCTGAGTTTATTTCTGCAAGTGAAATACAAAAAATCACTGGCTGCAAATTAGGAACTTTGAAGATTCTCGAGCCCATAAGCAAAGACAGGATATTCAGGGAGTTTAATACTCTTCATTGTAGATAATGATTGCTCCAATAATTCGAGTAGCTGTTCAAATTTATCCTCACAATGCATTGTTCTTTAAAAATGATAATAAAAGATGTGATTCAAGAATTCTCTCCTGTTAAACATGAAATTTGAAGGATCATCATGTTTCTACAGGTCAATATGATTTAGACTAGACTAAAGTTACCCAATGTTGCAGTGAACAAGAAAAAAACATCTATACGCATTAGATTTTACAGAACTAAAGCCCCCCACAGCATTTAATTTCTGCAAATAAAATGTGATCAATATTAATAAAAATAATCCTTATATTCCATTTTGCATTAAACATGAAAGAACATTTCAACAAGCCATTCGGACACTAGCTCAGAGACAGGGAAGGACCCAGAAGATTATGTGAGGGGGGCAATAGTGAATTTTTTTAGTAATTTCAGTGGGGGTAATAGTGAAATTTGATAGGTATATAATTCAAAAAGAAAAAATCACAAGGGTATAATACTAAAATAAAAAATAATAAAAAAATTCAGTGGGGGCAATTGCTCCCACCGAATTTCATGCAGGTCCGTGCCTGCTCACAGATGATCAGACTAAGGAGCTCATGGGATTGAACAGCACACATTTCTAATGAGCCGAAATCCTCGTACTGTCTGCTCAAACTTTATTCAAGTCTGATTGGAAATTATCATTAAAGGAGAAAATTCATATTTCAGGAAGCTATTAATGGTCAAAAAAAGATTTTATATATGTAGCTCAATGTCATATTTGAGAGGCCACTCTTACAACAGATGCAAGAGAATGGAGCAGAACCATACAGATCTATTTCCTTCAGCTTAAGTGTTTCAGCCAGTTCACATTGCTGCCTGAAAGCATTAGCTCTTTCCGCTATTGTCGCCTGTTTCAAGAAAACAGTGGTAACCCAAAAATAGAGTGAGATTCTAGAACACCCAAAAAGAATTATTTGACACAAAAAATTTAAGAGTTAATAGATGATATTCTACCAGTGATGATTGGCATAAAAAGTCAATAGATGAGATTCTACCAGTGATCCATGGATCGTAAAAGATTTTGCCTTTACTAATATAATATATAGCTAAACAAAACAGGTACAGCTTTATCTGATTGGAAGGAAGAGAAAAAAAAATAAATAAATAAAATAAATGAGTTATCTCCAAGTTTGCTAAAGGACACAGCTGGCAGATGATACAGCCTACAAACTCACCTTGATAGATTGCACAGCACGGACATAGTCTTTCAAGGGTTCTTCAAAATTCATCAAGAGGTGGTGGGCCTGAGTAATTAAGAAAAGGCAGTGATGTCACAGAAAATAACACTTCCATTTGTAGGTTAGTGAACTAACTACTTAATTTGATGCAACAAACTGTTTTGCATGAAATGAAGCTTACCTCCTTTTGCAGCTTAACTGATAATATCTCTGACTTCCCCCCAAGCTCTGAGAATGCCTTCCCAAGAGCATTTCCTTCACAAGAACCAAGAAGCTTGACTGCCCTTCCAAAATCTGACAGAGATTGCCCGAGCTCTGTAAAAATATATAGAAATGATCGCATATATATTATGCATTTGGTTCATTCAAGTACGAGGATAGAGAAAGAAGGAACATGCAAAAAGAGGTTATGTAAAATAGCAGGTGAAGAACAGTACAGAATCATTGAAGCCCTAGCATCAAAAGGTAGAACAAAAAAATAGTACTTAAGAAATCAAGTCCCTTGTACCTCTGTGCCTCTTCACCAGACGATATGCATGCTTCTGAGCTTCAGCTAAGTGATCTTCAAGCTCAAAGATATAATGTTTCAGTTTCTCATATTCAGGACTCGATTCTTCCACTGGCTTTTCCTTTCCAAGAACAACGTCACTCACTTTAGATTGTACATCCTGTCAAATATTTAGATAAGTTAAGCTTAATTTATTTCATCTTTTAAATGGACAAGTTCTGGTTTGAGTGGCCCTATGACCTGATTGACACTGTACATACATGCTAAGGCCAAACTTCTTTTCGGGGAAAAATGAAGACCAGATCAGATGCTTGATGAGCTCATTAATAATATAATGGAATTTTAAAATGTATCAGACTGAGGAACAAATTTTGCAAAGTGACTAAATTTAGATCTGTTCTATGCTTACAGATAAGTAATGGCATTTTTAATTACAAGGAAGTAAGTATGTTCAATACAAGTCAACGGGCCATGGGTCTCCATGTATCATAACAGCTTATATTTGATAGTTGGGAAATTTATTCAGATATAAGCAACCTCAAGAAGAAAGCTAAAATTGTGGAGACCATTAATAGTGTCGCACTATGTAATGAAAAGGCATGGGTAACAGCTTCATCGTGTGTCTGGTCCCACTAAATCGGACAGCTTGCATGTTATTCGTGCCAAAAGGTTGGCTGATGCCTTGTGAAATAGTTTTAACAATTACATAATGAAATTGCAGTTAATTGGGACCATTAATTATCAAAAGACCACAATAATTTACTTTCGCAACTAGGATTACCTTAAAGATTTGCATCAAATCCGCTGGCTTTCTCTTAAAAATGCCAGTCTCTTGAGACCTTGCCCTCTCCATTGTCTGCAAACAGTATAACAACGTTACATGAATGATAGAATTTCACAATTGAGGGAAGGAGGGGGAGGAGGAGGTTGTGAGGGAATATACAACAAGGACCCAGCTGTGTTCAAAACGTGTTGGAGCATGACACTCACATGAAGGAGAATGTCCAAATTTTAGGAATTAAAGAGGGCATTTCTGGAGCACATCCGACTGTTACACTGCTACGCTCTTCTTAATGACATAATGATGTTTTGCAAGGAAAATGTAAAATTACAAGAGCACGTTTTTTCCTCAAATTGTGAAAGAAAAAAACACACACACATACTGGGGAGGGGAATACAGCACACAAAGCTGAGACAGAATCCTAGGAAAGGAAAACCAAAGTAAAGAAACCCCAAAAATTGTTGCTAAATAAAATTAAGGGTAAATTACACCGACCTACCCTGAAGTTTGGGCAAATTACACACAGATAGACCGTTTGCCCTTCATAATCTTCATTACTTTGACCTCCCCCTGAATGTGTAAAAGGTCATTATTGCCCTTGTGTTATAATAATATATTATATTAAAAAAATTTGTTAAACTAAAAAGTCAATTTCACCAACATCTTTAGCCATCACTTGTACAGTACCAATTGTAAAGTACTTTACCTTTTGGAAAACCAAAAAAAGAAAAAAAAATGTAAAGTACTTTCTCTGTCTCTCTTGTTCTCAGAAACCACGAAAACAAAGACTCAAACCAAACAAAACTCACCCATCAAAAAATGGATATAATCTCAACGAATTGAGTGCCGATTTTTTTATCTCTTCAACTTCAAGTCAGGTGCTGTAGTGTTTGGGTTGTTCAACTTTGACTTCAAGTTGTGTCTGGATTATTCTATTCATGTTGGAAGTGTAGTTCAAGGTTAGGGCTTTTATTAATGTTGGAAGTTTAGTTCAAGGTTAGGGCTTTTTTCTAATAAGAACTCTTGGTCGGACAAAGAGAGATGGGTGAGTAATCCCCATAAACATGGTGAATATGATTGACGAGTGCTCAATTCATTGTTCGCGTCGAAGCCAGACTCAGGAAATCAAACATCACCACCTCTCTATGCTCGCCATCCTCGACATCATCACAAGCCCCTGCAGCACGGTCTAGTGGGATTGGGCACCCCTAACTTTGGCTCAATGATTTGATACAAATATTTGAAGAGATATATATATATGTATGTATGTATGTATATATGTATGTATGTATATATGTATGTATGTATGTACAGTAGTGTTCAATTGCTCCCTGGTGAGCAGGGAGTAGTATGCTCACTTTTAATTGTAGCTGTTGAATTTAATCCAACGAATGTCCTTTATTTGTAAAAATTTAGGAAACTCTTAAATCTTTTTATTGCCATTAAATATAATTGGAATGAAATGACAAAAGGATACAACTTTATTGAAGGAAATGAAATCTTAGAAAATAAAAAAATATCATAAAAGAGCTTTACCCCCACAAAACACGATTGATCATGATCACAGTTGATCGAAACAATCATAATTGATTGAAAATATAAAATTTAAGAAAATCACAACTGATGGGAAGCCACTTGCTCATCCTCCTAAAAAAACAATTAGATAGTCATGGCTCAAAGATCTTTTTATTATTAGTTAGTCTGCCACATTTTTATTGATTTTATTTCCCTCACATATATGATTATTTTTCTTAAATTTTATATTTTTGATCAACTCTGATTTTTCGACCAGCTATGATGAATTACGTTTTGTGACCAAAAAGGAGCATATAAGAAAGCAATATGCATTAAGTCGGTCTAAGAAAAATCAGTCCCCAAATTATTCTTCTTGATTTAGACTCAGAAAATCATAGACGCGAGGGGAAAAAATGAAATAGGGTATACTAACTAATACTCCGTACTATAGATAGATTTTATTTCCTTCAATAAAGTTGTACCCTTTTGTCCTTTCATTCCAATTATATTTAATGGTAATAAAAAGATTTAAGAGTTTCCTAAATTATTACAAATAAAGGACATTCGTTGGATTAAATCCAACAGCTAAAATTAAAAGTGAGCATACTACTCCCTGCTCACTAGAGAGCAATTGAACACTACTGTATGTATGTATGTATGTATGCATGTATGTGTGTGTGCATATATATATGTACGTTTATATTCACATGTATGAAAATTCATATTACCAATTTGTAGAATGATCTGAAAGTTAATATATTACTAATTTGTAGAAGACCCACATACAAATATCTATATATATACACATATATAAACAAAGATTCGTTAGGGGAAGAGAGAAACGTGGATAGACAAATATATACACACAAATATGTGTGTGTGTACATAGAGAGACGTTAGAGAGGTAGATTATGCATATGAACAGTCCAATGTATACAAATAACATACATAAATATATAGTTGTTATAACTTATATTAAAGACATGGAGATCTAGCTATGTTGTTTTGGACATCGTTGATATGCGACAGCGATGGAGGTTGTGGCCTAGAGGTACAAAACGTACACAATCAAGGATGAAGTTACAAGCTAATGGAAATATAAACTCAAGCAAATAAATGTAAAAGGACGTGATAACAAACACCCAATTGAACCAGAAATTGGGTTCCTATTAGTATTACTTTATTAATTTAGCCAATTGGGTTCCTATTGATAAGATTTATTTTTTAAAGTATAAATAATAAGGGCATTTTAGTCCATTTTTTGGTGGCTTTTTTGTGTCATTTATTACAACACTTGAGGTTATTATTGACTTTTCAAATAAGGTAAGGTGTGTTGGTCATTTTGTTAACAATTCTGACGAAAAACAAAATCGGACGGGGTCATTGGCCAAACCTCGTGGGAGGTCAAACGATCTATCCATGTGTAATATGCCCAAACCTCAAGGGAGGTTAGTGTATTTACCCTAAAATTAAAGCTCCCTGGGTTAATCAATATCAGAAGTTACTTACTTTACCGACAGACTGCTGCCTCATCGAGGTTCTGGGAGCCACTGGATGGGTAATTGTGCACTCAAAAAATATATATATATATAATAATAAAACAAAAATAGAAGAGTAAAATCTACTGGATCTCCATGGAGGATTTTAAATTATTCCTGCACTATAAGATAATGCTTGTCAAGTCAACCTCCATTTTTACTCCAAAGTATCCGTATGTTTTAGTTCTTCCAAGGTCTTGCATAACAACCAATAACTCAATCCTCCTCCCGCTGGACTATAAGAAGGCAAATCTTATATGAACGTTACAGTCTGCACATTGATTTCTGGAGTGTGTTTCTCACTCACTCTTCTATGTGGGATATAGCAAGGAAGTATTCTCCTGTTTTGCACCTTCCATCATAAAGTAGTACATATTTTGGAAAATCAATCTAGAGAGCTGTGATAGTACAGGATCTATGCATGATGTGTAAATGCATCAATGAGGATACAATCTTCAAGATCCAAATTCAATGAAAGTTGCCAATAGAATGGGCAAAACCCAAGCACACCAGAATTTCCAAAACAAAAAAAAGAGAGATTTGAATATCACCCAAAATTTCCACAAAAGAATAAAGCTTATTGTAAATCTTCGAGTAATAAATGGGTTGGCTTTCTCCAATCCATTGAATCATACATGCATGCAGTGACAGAGCCAAGGATTTGTTTCAGTGGAGGCGAGTTTGGTGTTTGAACAATTATAAGAGAAAAAAATTACCCAAAAAAGAAAAAAACTTAATTATTGATTAATAATTTTTTCATTCGGCACAATTACATTTTACTTTCAAGATATATTCACATTTTGAAAGCGTTGCATGATAACCTCACTAGTTAAAGAAGGGGAATTCAGGTTTTGCATATTTATTGAGTGTTGAGAAATCGACTGAATGAGGGTTTTAGATTTTTTCCTCGGCGCATTTCTTCTTTTGAGATAGAGAGAGAGAGAGAGTTACTATTTAGTCTTTTGCCTCAATTGGTATTTCATTTTTTCCCCAAATGAAAGGTTTAGGGTTCAATAATTGATGTGTTTGTTTCAAGTTTGAATGTGTGAGCGCTTACCGAGAGAGAGAGAGAGAGAGAGAGGGCAAGGAAAACTTGGTAGGTGGGTGGATTTGTCTGTTGGAAGAGAGTTTAAAAGTCCAAGGAAAGAGAGTTAAAGGATGCACAACTGGAAAGAGGAGAGAAAATTTTAAAAAGAAAAGGTGTTACAAAAAAAAGGTCTTTGATAATTAATTATAATGTGGGTTGGTTTAAAATATATGAAAAGATATGCATGCAAAACCAAAACAAAAATAAATAAATAAAAATGAGTAGGGCCATCTAAGATTTATTACAATTTTAAGGATTGGTTTTAGAATTATGAAAAGATGTGCAAAATCAAAATAAAAAATTGAGTGGGGCAACTGCCCCCACTGGGCCCTTAGTGGCTTTGTCCTTGCATGCATGCTTTAAGAAATTCTTATATAGTGTACCAGAATGGGTCATTTGGGCACAAGTGGCTGACATCAAAAAGGGCTGAACAGAAGGAGAGAGAGAGAGAGAGAGAGGAATGCATACAGCCCAAAAGTTCCCATATACATGATTCAAGACACAACAAAATCTGGAACCTTCGAAATGATTTCAAGGCAGAAGAAAAAGGAATCTAGATTGTCTATTTAAGCCATCAAAATCAAATACTTCACCTGTTCATCTGCCTGCAAAAAGGTTCTCAAATCCTCGCTTTGCTGAAGCTCGTGATGTGAAGCTATCCGATTAACAAATATATCCAACGCCTGACGTCTCATCTCAATAAATTCAGCACTGAATCTAAACTTCTCTGCACGAGAGACTAAAGTGAGTCAAATGATAACTTCAAAATGCTTCATGTCATTGCAATTATCAACATGCTTAGTTACTATCGCATTAGTAAATAGTCACACCATCTTGAGCATAACATGAAGAGCATATTAACATGAAAAGGCGAATTGGGAATTTCAAAGAGAGTTCAATTGGGACCATGTATAATCAAATTTTTGGTGTGATTCGAATCTTGTACATCCTTCCTTTTAAGGTTAAAATAATTAGAGTTCATTTCTGTTTATGTTTTCAGGGTTTTCAGGAATTTAATATTATGTGAGCCAAAATATTCTGAGTGAAGCGGGAGGAATTCTGGGTGAAATTTCTACGATATTCTTCTCTTTCTCTCTTCTCTGTGATAAGAATTTCCTGTTTTAATCACAAGCATCCATTATTCTCTTTAAATCTCATCCAAAGAATCCTATATCTACCACTTTAGCCTTCATCCTTTTAGGCCTTGCTTTGACACTTCAAACTCATAATTAACTTGTTGCATATAAGTTATGAACAACTCCAGCAATTTATCATCCTTGTTACCTTTCATAAAGGCTGCAACTTTTCTTCCACTTAAAACTAGACCAACAAGCTTTCGTAACCTCGACCCACCATGAATTAATCTTAGATAGCATTGTTTAGATTATATAAGTGCTGTCCTGCATCAAAATTTTATAATTATCTTTGCTTCCGCCTTTCATCAACATCTTGATACATTAGGGCTTAATTTTGAGCTTTATAGTTTGTGATTTTAAAGCTTTTTCCTCAACTACCAGAAATTTAACCGGAGATTATTTTTTGCATGTATTGACCTTGAATCCAAGTGTTTTTGGGTCAACACCATCTATTAGTTATTTTGTACGCAAGAAACATTCAAAAAAAAAAATTAAAAATTAGAAATATATATATATATATATATATATATATATATATATATATATATATATATATATATATTGTGCCTAAGTGGACACAAGTGAATAAACAGTCGCTATTAGTTTGTGCTTAATCACACTTGCATTCTACAAAGAGGTTGCATTTTCTAAATGATTTAAATGATCATAATTTTGTCTACTTCCCTATGTAAATACTTCCTTTTCCTCCCAGAACATAAAAAGGAGAAACATAGATCTTTGTCAGCAATGCAAACTGGGAAGGTAAGGGAACGTTGGAGGGATGGAAAAGTTATTAGTAGGGAAAGGACCTTCTCACTTTTCATTGGTTGAGTAGAAAGGACAGGCCAGCCATCAATATGGAAAGCAAAATTGGCAACTGTGGAATTACATATTAAATATCCAAAAATGAGTCTAATTGAATAAGATGTTGATATACGTGAACAATAAAACAAAACAAGAAAAGAAAAAAGGATAGAGGAGTAAAGGATGTTGGAGGCCACACCAGTTGAGAACAAAACATGATGAAGTTGCACACTAGAAAAATAGTAACACTGCAACAATTGGAGATATAGCTCCAAGATTCTTGGCAAAAGCCAAAAGTGACAAGGGTTGAGGTAGTGTCAGAACGCATGATAATGTATATAACTATAACAATATTCTGGTCCTAGAGAAAGAAAAATGCAAATAATGATTCATTTCGACAACTATAAACAATAGTAGTAGTTCCTACATTGTGTTAATAAACTTACTCTCTCCACTTAATATTTCACTACATTTATCCATAATCAGTATACATGAAAAAGAATGTATTAAAATTAAAGCATACAATTATAATTATAATTTATTGTTTAAGCATTATAAAGTCAAACCATATTAGACTTTGATTGGCCAAACAAAATCAGTATCCTGAGAGAATGACTAAGATTTCCTACATTCATACTAGATATCTGATATCCTAGTCCTAAATTAGTGAACAACACGTCAGTCATGTCTTCATTAATATGAATTTGAATTTTGACAGCTTTTCAGATAATTCAAAAGCTGCATACTAAGGTGAAGCGGAAAGAACATAATCATGATGGAGTGCCTTCTCAGCTTTCCACAAGGATATTCTCATCACTGGTGTGAGACACAAACAAATTATGTAAGACCCAGTAAAATAATGACCACCATGAAAAAAATGGTAATAGCATTTTCCACTTTTAGAGCATAACAATGTATTGGAGAGGGGAGAAAAAAAGTGTGTGCCTTGGTTTGTTACCTACGGTGCTCTTCTCGGGAAGAGGAGGAATGAAAATACCCTTGTACTTCTCAAAAAGACGATCACGTAACCAAACAAAATCAGTATAACGTCGAATAACAATCTTCTCTGGCCCTTGGTACTCAGGAAAATTCGTCTGCCAAAACAAGTTCCAAAAGATTTGAACAGCAAAAAGCATGAGTAATTCAATTTGAAACTTCAGATTAAGTTCCATAATGGTAAACCCACACTCTCTTTTCTTTCAAAAGTGAGGACAAAACCATAAAACAATGGGGTGGGGAGGGGAAAAGATGTCATCCATTATTTCATCGTAATAGACTAATACCTCCCAGGTGGAGTGTTTATGAGTCATCATCAATGCTGACGAAAGGATAATGCATAAAATCTCTAGCAAAAGACATCATGCATTGTGTATGACAAGAAGCCAAGAATAAGATCCAAATATAACATTGCAGTTTTAAGTAAAGTTCATCCTAAACAACCTAAAGACAAACTCTTTTGCATGATAAAGGGCCATTTGTTGGACTCAAGAGTTGAGCCTTCCATCGAATAATAAAAGGAATCAGAACTTCATTACTCAGGAAGTAGTTCCTCTCATGCAAATAAAACTTGAGGAAATGGATCATGTTGAGAGATCACCCTTTATAGTCCATGGGAAACATTCTCCACGCATTTATTACTGTTTATCAGGGCTTACTCTCCCACGGGTAAGCCTCATCACCGGTGCAAAATCTAGCAAGGACCCTCACCTTACCAAAAAGAGTCTCTTTAAGGATAAACCCATTGCGTTCCTACAGCGATTTAGCATGACCCAGCATGGATAACTAATCAAGGGCTTTAAGGGGTTCCTCTCTTATGCATAAAGCTCGTGAGAGCACTGAAGGCCTCAAGGAGCTCCTTTCTATGAATGGAACTCAATAAATTAACAAAGACCTCAAATAACTCCTCCTATTGCATCAATGTGTCGCCATACTTCCTCATCTAATAGACATTGGTAATATGCCCAATCCTATTATTATACTTGTTGGGTATTTTACTTACTCTACGGGAAATATTATTCATTGTTTCACCACGAATTCAAATTACCTAGGCTATTAATAGAAACTTGTTAGAAGTATTGCTCATAAGAGAGATGTGGGTATATGAGGATTCTCCTCCTCGGGTTTCATCCAATAGAGTTGGGAGTGTGAAAACAATAAAAACATTGGTAATGACCAAGGATCCAACCCCAACCGCAAATGTTGCTTAGGGAATTAAATATGTCTCTCCTACCCTCTGTAATTTGGCTATAATCATGGCGGATTCTTGTCTCATAAGTGGATTTAAGAAGGCTTATTGCTGAACCACATTAAAAAATTGTGTCTTGCTTGTTTGCTTGATTACTGGTACCGCCGAAGTGGGTGTCAATTTTTGGGTCCAAATGTATAACAGAAATAATTTATGGTGGAAATCTTGAAAGAAATTGCGAGTTTGCAAGCTGTCAATCACCAGATTGTGCTAAAAATCAGCCAGCTAAACTGAAAACAGATCTTCATCAAATAGTCGAATAAAACCTCCTAATTCTCGTAATGATCAGTTCAGTTGGAAGTAACAACGCAGAAATCCCATAAAACCCTAGCCTAACCTCAATTTGATAAATTCAAAAACTGAAATACAAATTAAAAAAAAAAAAAACCTAGATACATACATACACACGTATTTTATTATATTAGTATTAGTATAGGCGACGAAATTACCTTGGTGATGACCTTATAGGAGATATAAGCTTGGACGCCAGTGCCCATCTTAGCAGGATCAGTGACAGAGACCGATAGATATGGTTGTGAAGATGGAGATCTAGGGCTCTGTGATGAACCTGATAAACTTCTTTGCTGCATATTTGGATAAAAATATAAATAAGAGAAAGTATGTGTAATCAATCGTATATTATTAGAGTTTATCTGAGCTCACGTCGACATCGAAGACAGAGTGGTAGTCTCGTAAATTACCTGGGCAATCATGGCGTCTATTGGGATGGGGAATCAAAGGACGACGAGGGAGAACAGATAGAGAGCTCACGATCCAAACCAAGGTGACTCACTGAACACACAGATGTGATTAGATTATTCCCGTCGTTCGCCGCCGCGATTATTGTTGTTAATGAATTTTGTGTGTGAGGAGGGGGTGTTTGAGGACAGAGACTTTTTTCGCTGTCCACTTCTTAACGAAAGAAATACTTCTTGCCCAGTTCGCTAAGTTAAGCGGAGTGGTGACACGTACGTTTTGGGAAAATATTGTGCTACGTAACGTATTGTTTGACTTTATATAGACGAATTAAAGTCTACTAATTTCTATCCTAACAAATAATTTATACTAATATTTTTTTTGAGAGATTTGAAAGAAGAGAAGATGATATACTAGGTACCAGACTTAAAATAAGATAAAATTTTAATTAAAATATTTATATTTAATAATTGTTTTTTCTTTTTAAAATTTTTCTTTTTTTTGCACAAAACCTCCTAATAAAATTGAGCTAACCCTAGACGAAATATCCAATTGTTACAAAGTTTTATAATGACAAAAATGTTCCTTAATATAAATTTTAAAAAATTTAAGTTTTTTTTTTCAAATTATTTTCATTTTAGATTTTCTTTTCATTTTAATTTTTGAAAAATAGAACTTTAAGAAAATTCTAAAAATTAAACGCCATTAAAGTGATGTTTATAATGACGAAAACGCCGCTTAAAATAAATTTTTAAAAAATAGGTTTTCTTTAAAATGATTTTCATTTTAGGTTTTTTTTCCTTTTTAATTTTTTTTTAAAATTTTTTTAAAAAATTCCAAGCTATTCTCATTTTCTTATACATGCCCCAAATTTTTTTTTAACAACACTATGCAAAATAAGTTATTTGTATTAATTTAATCTTATAATAAGAGGATACAGTCAAGGGCAAAGCTACTGAAGGGTTAACCTGGGTTATAGCCCAAGTTAAAAAAAAAAAAAAAAATTAGTACTATTGTACATCAGTTCATTGGGGACGTCATTTTCTTAAATTTATATTAAGAGATATTTTCGTCATTATAACATCACATTACAATAATTGGACAGTTCAAAAGGGTTTTAGGTATATATATATATATATATTTGTGGGGATCTATTGTGCCAAAAATTTAAAGCAAAGTGAAGTTTAAAGTTTATGTAATTTGTCCAAAAAGATATATATATATATATATATATATACAAAAATAAAAGTAAAAAATAAAAACTCAACTTTTATTTTCCACTAAAAAGTTTCATCACTTATTAACATTCCACTTTTAAAATTTTCAGTAGTATCAAACAACTCTAGTGTTGCGTGCTAATTTTTTCGTCAAACAAGAAACCGTAAAACCATGTCATTTGGACCAACCAACAGTTACGCTAATAAGAAAGAAAGAAAGAAAGAAAAAAAGTGGAAAAACAAAAATTTAATGGGTACAAAACTACAAATCATTATTGATCGTTTGTTATTTTAATTTGGCTATTAAGATTAGTTTTTGTTTTTAGAAAACAATTAGTTGTGGTATGATAACTTAATTCAGGTAGAATTTATATAGTAATAAAGTTTAAACTATAAATAACCACTTAAATGCTTTGGAACCAAGTACTTATAATTTTTATGGACATTACAGAAACTCTTATTTTAGTTTACCACTTCAAATTCAATTCTTAAAATTTAAAATAATTAATATTAGTTTATCAAACAATATCCGAATCCATTTAACTCTACTTGAAAAATTGCACACGGTGCAGTACAAGTAGTTCAAAATCTGTAAAAGAAAATATATTTTTATGACATAAATAATAACATAATATATAAAGGGGTTAAGTGCAAAAAAAAACTCTCATTAAATAAAAAAATGTGCAAAAAACACCCCTATTAGGGGGAAAAAAAAAAGTGCATATAACTCCTTGTATTATCCATCTTTTGAGCAAATTACCCCCTATTAAATAAATCTGATGAAAAATAGTTGTCGGTGATGTCTTTTTTTTCTTTTCTTTTTTTTCTAAAAATCCAAAAGTACTTTTTTTTGTGTAAAAAGAATGCCCCTACCAATTTTGTATATATTTAAACAGTGAATGGGTTCATTTGGATGTACTTGAAGACCTATCTAAGGAAATCTTCTCTCTAATATTATTTTTCTCTCTCTAAAATATTTCTATGTTGTGTTTAACAATTTGTTTCCAAGAAAACAACATTTTTATTTGGGCAAAGTACAACAAACCCCTGTCGATTACGGGCCTTTTCCAACTATCTGAGGGGTTAAAAGAGTAAATGTTTGGACCAAAATGCCTTTATTGTTATTTTATTTAAATCATAATTCATCCGAACTTCAAAAATTCATATCTTACAAACGTACTTCCAAAAATTACAAATAATATATGCATAAAAATTTTATGAAATAAGGATTCTATAAATATATGATTTGTGTAATAAGCTACCATAACCAGAGAGAAATAGGCAATCTAAAAATTTACTCTAGCAATTTATGTTATTTTTAATAAATATAATACTCGGGATATTTCATGAAAATTTTTAAAATTATTCATTTGCATACAAAGTAACCCCAATAGAGGCCGATTTTGTGAGATATCACATTGTGCGTCAAGGTGTTTTTATTTTTTATAGACTTACCATTTTAAAAAATATATATCAAAATCAATAATCGGTCTGTTGGGGATAATTTTTTTATATGTTATACTCTATACGTAAATGAATAATTATAAAAAATTTCTTGTAAATATCCCAAGTATTTTATTTCTAAAAATAAAATAAGATTGCGGGAGGAGGTTTTTAGATTGTCTATTTCTCCCTGGTTATGGTGGCATGCTGCACAAATATTATATTTATGAAATACTTGTTTCATAAGCTTTTTGTGTATATATTATTTGTAATTTTTGTATGTATGGTTTGTGATATATGAATTTTTGAAGTTCAGATGAATTAGGATTAAAATAAAATAGCAATAACGGCATTTTGGTCCAAACATCCACTATTTTACCCCCTTAGATAGTTGCAGGGGGTTCTTTGGTAAAAAATTAGATAATGGGGATTTTACTGAAAAAGGCTCGTAGTCAAGGGGGGTTTATTGTACTTTGCCCTTTTTACCTTTTTATGATACTATATTTTATTTGGCAAGTACATCATTTTTAATTTTTTCAAAAAATTATTTATTTCAATATACACACACACACACACACACGCGCGATATTTCTTGCAAATATTGCTTTCTAATTTTGTAACTTCTATATATTATCATTCAATTCCTAGAACTCTCATTCTATAAGAAAATATAATATCTCTTTCTAAATTTTTTTTCTCTCTCTAAAATTTCTCTGGTTGTAAGTATAAATGATACCTCCAATTTTGGAGACACGGGTTGATGAGGGCCACACCCAAAATCAGGGATATCAAAACAAATTGATAATAAATGAATACAGGATACAAAGTATAAATAATAAATAAATAATATCGCTAAAAATGGAAACTAAATAATAATTAAATAATCATCTGATTAAATCCAACAATTTCTAACGGTAAAGAATCCTCCAAAATATAACTCGGGAATCCGTATTATGGACCCCTAATAAAATCCTATAGCTGAAAATAATAAATTTCGAAAACTAGATAATAAAGACATAATGAAGAATCATACGTCGACGACACCGAAAGAGTGATGAAAAATAGTCTCTACTCTGTACGAACAACCTCTAATTCTGCTACTGATGAGAACCCGAAAAATATAACAAAGGTGAGTCAAAATCCACGAACAAGTCATTTTTATAACAACCCAAATAGAGAGAGTTGACTAATGAGTCCAGACCTCACTCTATGTCATGCCATTATCAGGATATGGATGACATGCCATTGTTATAATATGGATGTGATATGTTGAGCATTTATTGTGCCATTGTTAGGATATGGCTGCAGTATGTTATATGCATGTCATCGTGTCATTGTCAGGATATAGTTACGGTGGTTTGTAGTTGGTATGCTATTGTCACGATATTGTTAAAGGTCTCTGGATCAGTGATTGGGATTAGGCGTATATTGTTGAGTGAGATGGGTAGCTGGATATAGGATATGTGTGTGCCCTGGTAGAAAGGGGACCCATGACCACCTCGTGTAAGTTTTTCATGAGATACCCACTATCTGCTTAAATCTATCTTATATTCTAACGAGAGTCTTTAGTGTGTATATACATATATCTCTATCAACTACTTAGATATTGGATAAGTTAGTTAGGGATGTATCGCTTATCGAGTCTATGATTGGGTTGTTGTATAAATGACTTGTTCATGGGTTTTGACCCACATTTGCTGCATTTTTCATGTCGTAGACACCCCATTTTGCCCCTACCCATTTGTAGGAGTATTTATGCAAAGTCCCACTAAAGATCATAATCTTCGTTTTTATATTCACTAAATAACACTAGTTTTGACAAATTAGAAAATAAGAAAATTGGATAGTCAAATCGTAAAATGGATGTTACCATTGGGTCCAGAATGTCTTAAAATTATAATTACAACTAGAGTCAAGCTCGTAACGTGTAATACCCCTAATTTTAAAAGGATAGTCCTGGTAATTATTTAATTGCTTAATTGTATTTTTAATTTATTTAAGTTGTTATTTGTATTTGTTTGGTTGTTTGTTTGAATTAATTGTAGGTTTCTTTAATTAGATTTTGTTTTGCTTTAATTGATTAATTGTTTTGTTTAATTAGTTGTCTTAATTATGGATTTAATTGTTTTAATTTAATTATTTTTTTAATTGTATTAATTTTACGGGATTTAATAATTTAATTATTTTAAGTTAATTGTTTTAAATGACTGGATTTCGTTAATTTAAATTAGTGTTCAACGTGACTGTCATATAGCTTTACATTGGGTTTACAGTTTACATAGGTAGCCGACAGTGAATATAACCTAGGTTGCTCTATGGGCCGAGTTATACATGGATTAGGGTTTAAATGTCTAAGCCTATAAATATGCATGTTACTGTGGATTAAGGTTTAAAACAAAACAAAACGAAATGTAAGTTTCTGTAGAACAGGGATACAGAGAGGAATTTTGGGAAAACAGAGAGTAAATCTTGAGAGTTTAATAAAGAGGTTCAAGGAGAAAGGAACGGGGTTACTTCTGGGTTTAACCAAGAGTAGCAGAGGTGTGGAACGATAGTTTAGAAGGTGGTTGGAAAACCTC